AGAGAATGGTCAGCAATATCATATGCATTAGATAAGTCAAGAAGGATGATGACTGAGGAAAGACCATCCAGATTGGTCATTCGATCATTGATAACTTCGGTCGAAGAGAGAAGTTTCAGGTGAATGATGAGGCGACCACCAGATAGTCCTAGTGTTTTTGTAGTCTAGGAACTTAATGAAAGTGGTAGCCATGTGAGTAGAAAGAAAGTGCTGCAGCATTGGCCAGTTACCCAGCCAGGAGTGTATAACCGACTTAACTGGCTGCAGGAATCCAGAGTCAGCCTCAGGCTACAGAAGTGACCCTGGCTGGACTCGAGATGTGGAAGAGAAAAATAACAAGCTTGGAATAGTTGCTGAGCTCTGGCCTGCTTGCCAGGTGTGTGCCTTATTCCCCAAATGCCTTTCTTTCAAATTTCTCAACACTTCACAATATTTTGATGTGAGGAGAATAAATGGAAATGACAAAAAAAAAACCACACACACATGCACACACAACAAAAAACGTTTTTCGTCTTTTGATTCTTGCCTTCTGTGCTGCAGTTTAGTCATAGGATACCAATTTAACATATGCAGTTTCTATAGCAATTGAGGTTTCCTTAGTAACGGTTGCAAAAATAATCTGGCCCCAATTAATAATGCATTTTAAGACTATTTCTACACTCCACTAAACAACCAAATTATTTGGCAAAGAACCAGATAATTCAGATGGTATCATCTGTACTGATCTGATCTGCATATGGAATATTTGTTTGGAAAAGCTTAAAAGGGGGGGGCAGGCGGGTAACTGGTTGTTGCATGTGTCATAGGATACTTTCCAGTCCAAAAAATCAGGATCAGTTAGCAGGTGTAGACTGGCAAGCTAATATGAACCAAGTTTCCCAGGCTTTTGCGCTTCCTACCAAAATCTGCCCTCAATTCCATACTAGCATTGTCTGAGTAGGAAAGAAGGCTAACTGCTGGACTTCATTAACAAAAATATCAAATAAGGGCTGGGACAGTAAGAGATGGGATTTTCCACAAAGACACACTTAGTACTTTGTCTGTAAGCTTTTTTCTTCAGCTTTATTGACCAGGTTGGTTGGATGGTACATGTGAATTGCCTGCTTTTTTTTAAGAAAGTATGGCTTGTTCTACAGATATCCTTAGGACGATGAAGTGTGGTGTAATGAAGAGTGATGGGTTTGGAGTCAGTAGAGATCTGAGTTCAGATGTCATCACTGATACTAGGTGTTGCTTGAGGAATTCCTTATTTTTCAAATGGGGATAAACCTTTTTTGCCTTTACATTACTTTTAGGATCATAGATCTATAGCTGGAAAGTGCCTCCACAAATCATCTAGTCCAATCCCTTTATTTTACAGTTGAGGAAACTGAGGTCCAAGGAGGTAAAGTGAATTGTGGCAGTCACACAAGTGGTAAGCATCAGAGGCAGGGTTTGAACCCAGGTCTTCTGCTTCTCTTCTAGAACCAGTGTTCTTTCTTTTATATCACATTTCACTCCTCCTGGGGTTGTTGTGAGGATCAAATGAAATAATGTATGTAAAGAATTTATAGTCTTCCAAGGCCTGATTCACGGTCCAGGGCTCAGATCCAGCCACATTCTCACTCTTCTTTCTCTCTACCCCTCTTGTGACCCACAGCACACATGGACTAGACAGCTGGCTGGATTAAACACACACACATGCACACACACAACAGTTGTGACTGTCAAGCCTTTTTTGGTCCTCTGAAAGTAAGTGGCCCTTTTGGGAATGAAGCTTGGACTGTGGGCAGCCCTGCGTGCTAGCTAACCAGCCTGAAGCCAGCAAAAAAAAAAAAAATCAGCTGTTCTCTCCAAGTGCCCTCCTCTAGTTTTGCTTCAGCTGCACCTGGCACCAAAATCCCATTCTTCCCTGAAAATCAAGAGCTTGGCCAGCAGAGGATGCTGGAGCCTCATCAGAGCACAGCTTTCTGTACTCACAGGGCTGGCCCCTGGTACACGCTCACTATGGGGCAGCCTATAATCAGTAGTTTTTCCTTCTTTCCTGTCCCACCCACTAGAGAGATTTGGTTCCTACTTGTATAAGGCTTAGCTTGAAGAAAGAATGGAAACCTACTGACCTTGTTAGCAGTGGCTATTTACCAGGCACAGAGGTAGCCATTAGGGCCTGCTTGTAAGAAAGGACCCACTGTGGTAATGGTTGTATGTGATGGAGATTTCTGAGAATCTTAAAATTATTTGCATACGTGCCTTAAGGCAAATAAGGTGTTTCAGCTACAAACCCTAACGTAGAATTCCCTTTAGATGTAGCTTGTGCGGTATTACCCTCACAGGGCCTAGTGAATAAAACGGTCCTTTTCTTTTGATCCAGGGACCCCACAGCTGGGCACCTACACCAAAGAGGCCAGTGATAGAAAGGCTCTGTGATACACCACAATATTTATAGCAGCTTTTTTTGTAGCAGCAAAGAAGTGGAAACAAAGCAGATGCCCATTGATGGGGGAATAGCTCAGTAAATTGTTGTATGTGAATGTATTATTGTGCTGTGAAACATAGCCAAGAAACATGGTGGAGTTAAATGAACTGATTCAAAACGAAGTGAGCGGAACCAGTAAAACAAGATACAAGGCGATTACAATGATATAAATGGATTGAGTCTAAGGACCTGGTATAAATCCCTGCTCTGCTGCCTGTCTAGCTTAAACACCTGTTGAAGTATTATTGTTGTTTGGTTGTGTCCAACTCTTCGTGACCCCATTTGGAGTTTTCTTGGTGAAGATACTGGAATGGTTTGCCATGTCCTTCCCCAACTCATTTTACAGATGAGGAAACTGAGGCCAATAGAGTTGAGTGACTTGTCTACAGTCACACAGCTATTAAGTGTCTCAGGCCAGATTCCTATTGAGTTGCCTCTAGGCAAATTATTTAGTCTCACTGGGCCTTAGTTTCCTTTTCTGAAAAACAAGGAGATTGAAGCAGATCTCCAGTCTCACCTTTGAGCTCTAAATCTATGGTCCGATTATCACTCCCATGAGAATCCATCTCCTCACACATTAGTGCATCATCTCTGGTGTCAGCTCCTCCTTCTTTTCCTGGCAGCCCAGTAACAGATGGCAGAAGGGAAGAAGAAACAAGGATCTCTCGATGGTGTGAGTCTTCTTCCTTCCACTTGCTCCTTCCCCATTCACCCACCTGACTATTTTCCCTGGGGTAGCCCTAACCTGATTTTCTCTGATCACTGTCTGTCATGTCACAGGACCAGAGATTTAGAGCTGGAAGACCACACAGAGGCCAGTTAGTCTAACCTCCTCCTTTTACAGATGAAGAACTCGGGTACAGAGTGATTGACCTGTAGTCAGTCACATCACATGGGTAGTCTCAGAGTCTCAGAGCCAGGATTCAGACCAAGGTCATTGGGTCTAGAATTGAAAGGAACTTTAGAGGTCATCTCTTCCAATACAGAGGAAATTGAGGCCCTGAGAACTTAAAGCAATACAGGTAGTAGCAGAATTTGAATTTGAATCTGGGTCTTCTGACATCCTCTTCCCTGCCCCCACCCCAGATTATCTCCCATTTATAAATACCATAAATATCTTATATCAACGTGGTTGTTTATTATCTCCTCTATTAGATTATGAGCCCCTTGAGGATAGTGACCACGTCTTCTCCCTTCTTTGTAACGTCAGCGCTCAGCACAGTGGACAGGCTGGGTCACTGACTAATTCCCATCAGTTTTCTTTCCATGGTGCCCCAGTCTTCCTACCCTGCCATGTTGCCTTTCAAACCTCATGGCTGTGATGATTATTAGAAAAGAAGGGTAATCTCTGCCCAGTTCCCAGCCAGTTCACCTCCTTGTGAAAACATGATCTCCTGAATTTCCTCCCCGTTACCCCTTATATTATGAAAATAGAAGGAATATCCATGAACATTCACTGTTACTTATCGGCATTAAAAACAATGAAATAATTTTTCACTAAAGTAACACGAAGTTGGCTGAAGGCTTAGTATGCAAACCTGTGTTCTGACCTTGGATTTGCTACTTAACTATTTATGTGACCTTGGATGAGTCATTTTCCTCATCCCCACTCTTGACCTCATTTCGTTCAACTACCAATTGAAGTTGGACTCAGTAATCTGTATGATACCTTCTAGCTCTTTCTGTAGTCATGAATGAGTTGGAGTCACTGTTCCAGATTACAGTCTGTCTCTTAGGTTACGGTCTGTCTCTTAGTGGCAGAGATTATACCACTGTTCATGTTTGGGTTATTTTGAATTTAGAATGCACCCTACATTTTGGGGAGTACTTTAGCATAAAATCCACATCACCAGTTCCTATATACCTTGTTTTCAGTCAAGGCTACTAGTTTGGTTTTTTTAATAGCTTTTTTTCCCAACTACATGTAGAGACAATTTTTAACATTCATTTAAAAGTTTTTTTGAGTTTTAAATTTTCCTCCCTCTCTCCCTTTTCTCCCCCCTCCCCAAGATGGCAAGCAATCTGATATAGGTTATATATGGGCAATAATGTAAAATAGATTTCCACATCAGTCATGTTGTGAAAAAAGAAACAGATCAAAAGGAAAAAAAACACACACCAGGGGAAAAAAATGAAAATAGTATGCTCTGCTCTGCATTCAGACTCCATAGTTCTTTCTTGGGATGTGTTTTCGTTTTCCATCATGAGCCCTTTGGAATTGTCTTGGATCATTGTATTACTGAGAAGATCTAGGTCAGTTGTGGTTAATTATCACAGTGTTACTGTTACTGTGTACAGTGTTCTGGTTCTGCTCACTTAGCATTAGTTCATGTAAGTTTTTCCAGGTTTTTCTGAATTGTGCCTGCTCGACATTTCCTATAAGGGCTACTAGTTTTGACAAACCTTAGTGCGTGGGACTAATACATCGAGACCCTCTCAAAACCCGAAAGTTCACTTTGAGGACAGCTGTGTCTTTTCAGTGCAGGGGGAAGTGAGGTCGGATGCTTTGGCTGTCCTTGGTGACCTGTTTTCTCTTTCCTTACAGTGACAAAACTACAAGTGAGTAAGTCTAAAAGGACGATCACCTTGGTGGAGAACAGGCCGATCCAGCTGAATTGTTCGGTGAAGTCTCAGACGAGCTTGAACTCGCACTTTGCAGTCCTCTGGTACGTCCACAAGCCCTCCGATGCTGACGGAAAGCTCATCTTGAAAACCACCCACAACTCTGCGTTTGAGTACGGTACCTACGCCGAGGAGGAGGGCCTTCGGGGGAGGCTCCAGTTTGAGAGACACATGTCTGGCGGCCTCTTCAGCCTGACTGTCCAGAGGGCGCAGGTCAGCGATAGTGGCAGCTACTACTGCCATGTGGAAGAGTGGCTTTTGAGTCCCAACTACGCCTGGTATAAGCTGGCAGAAGAAGTTTCAGGACGGACTGAGGTCACAGTGAAGCGGCCAGGTAATGTGAGCTAGGTCACCTGCCCATCATCAAATATGGAAACCTCCAGAGTGCAAAGGGATCCTGAGATCAGAGCTTTCGAGCTGAAAAGGCCCTTAGAAGCCATCAAGTACACCCCTTTCAGAGGCCTCATTTTACAGCTAAAGGGGTGAGATTTAGAGAGGGGGCAGCTAGATGGCGTAGTGGATAGAGCACCAGCCCTGGATTCAGGAGGACCCGAGTTCAAGTGCGGCCTCAGACACATAACACTTACTAGCTGTGTGACCCTGGGCAAGTCGCTTAACCCCGTTGCCTAGCCAAAAAAAAATTTTTTTTAATTAAAAAATTAGAGAGGTTATTGAATAACTTGTTCAAGGTCACACAAATACTGGGTGACGAAGGAAAGCTTCGAGTTGAATCCCGGTCGTCCTGGTTCCAGGTCCAATGCCCTATCCACTGTCCTGCCCTGCCACTTCATCATCTAAGAGGTCCATTGTTGGAATTTTAAGGGGCTTTGCAAAAGAATTAAGGGAACCAGTCATTGCATGGGTCTATTTACCTGACGTGCTGTAAGGAAAAAGGGAAATTTGTGAGGCTTAATTTTAGACGCATCATTCAGTAAGCATTTATTAAGTGCCTGCTCTGTGCTGGGGATACAAAAAGAGGCAAAAGATAGTCCCTGCCCTCAAGGAACTTGCAATCTAATGTTGTTGTTGTTGTTATGACTGTTGAGTTGTATCAGTGGTGACTGATTCTTTGTGACTCCACTGGACCTCTGTCCAGTGGACAGAGTTTTCTTGGCAAAGGTGCTCAAGTGGTTTGCTGCAGTGGCAAACAGAGGTTAAGTGACTTGCTCAAATTCAGCCAGCTAGGATGTTTCTAGGGCTGGATTTGAACTCAGGTTTGCATGACTCTTAAGTTCAGCGCTGTATCCACTTAGCTGTCCCCTACACATAAAGAGATCAGGATGTAGGGACAACAAGGGACAAGCCTAGTAAAGCCTGTTGGAGGATGTGTGCGGGTATGGGTGTGGGTGTGTGTACACACGTGTGTACTGGATGTGTTGAGAGTCTAAGACGCATTTAGAAAACTGCGTCATTCCGAAAAACTCTTCTTTATGCCCACAGAGCCAGCAGCCTTATTGCTGTGTAAAGCTGTGACCTCATATCTATCCAATTGAGGATTCTGGTGGCCTGTGTTCTGACCTCAGTTTTTTGAAGGTTTCTCCTAGGGCCTTTGAACTTTGGAGATTGCCAGTGACCACTGTATTGGTTGCCCACATTATCCCGCGTATCTATCTTTACCTAGGATTTGGGCTTCCCTGTTCGGGTCTTAGTACTCAGAAGCCTTTAAAATGTGCTTTGCCTTATCAGACACTGTTGGCACTGAAACTAGAGATTGTACGTTGTTCATTAGAGTGTGAGCCCCTTGAGGGACTGGACCAAGTTTTTGCCTGTCTTAGCACAGTGCCTGGAACTGAGCATTAAGGACTTAATAAATGCTTATTGACTTGAGGCCCTAATTGAGGCTAGCACTTAGAGGAAAAGAGGTATCATAAAAATTCCTTTAAAAAAAATCTCTGCTTGAAAGAAATGAGCCTCATTAAAAGTTTTTTTGCGGGGTGGGGGGTGAGGGGTGGGGGGAGGATAGAAATACCATTTATGGTAGATGGATTTTGGTTTTTAAGCTTAGCTAACAGGATTTTGAAGGCTAAGGTAGGCCCATACCTCATTAAGTTTTGTGACCTGAGAACCTACCCCCTGCTTGTCCACACCTTCTCATTTCTGTTACTGTGTATTAAAGCATCGTGTTCAAGGCTGCTGAGGATTTAGCCAACAACTAGACTGGTAATTATTCCCCTGGAAGTGCCCTGTGCTTGAACTGGGAACTCAGAGATAGAGAATTCTCATTTAACTTCTAGGGGGGGAGCTTGATTTGTGGAACTGGAAAGGGATGCTTTTTTCTAAAACTGAAAAGCTTTAAGGAGCACGGCTGGCCTAGTAGCTTTACCAGGGAAAGGCCCAGATTCTGGCCCCAGTGACCTGCCACCATAGCCAAAATCTCAACTATTAGAGATGATGTCCTTTGGTTTAAACTTAATTTAAAAAGACAGATGATCCTGGGAAAGATAATTGATGAAGCCTTTTCCAGCCATATATGTATATGTATCATATATGTATATTAGTGTAGGGTATGAATTATTTAATTTTTACCCCTTTACCCTGTGAAAACTGACAGGGAATGGTGATTTTGATAGAGGAGATTCACCTAGGTCAGGAGTGGGGAACCTGTGTCCTTCTAGGTCCTCGAGTGCGGACTTTGAGTCCGAGTTTTACAGAACAAACCCTTTTATTAAGGGGGTTTGTTCTGTGAAGTTTGGATTCAGTCAGAGGCCGCACTTGAGGACCTAGAGGGCCACATGTGGCCTTGAGGCCGAAGGTTCCCCACCCCTGAGCTAGATGGTGCCGTGGGCAAGAATGGACACTGTTTGGAAGTCCCACCTCAGACATTTTTTTAGCTGGTCACCCAAACTTCTCATCCTGTTTACCCATCTATAAAATGGGAATAATAATAGCACCTACCTTCCAGGGATGTTTTAAGAATCAAATGAGATTTTTAAAAAAGCTTTTTGCATACCTTAAGTACTCTTTATCAGTGCTAGCCCTGAATATTATCATCATCATCATCATCATCATTATTATTATTATTATTATTAAGTCAAACAAACATTCTATAACTGGACATGAGTTATTAGCTTATTAACTTATAGGATTTATATTAACTTATGGGATTTATTAGCTTCCCCTCTACCATTTTGAAAAATCACTCTGGTGACAGAAGCTCCTCTAGCCTCCCTTCCCAAATCTCTACCACTTTTATAATGCTAATTGACATTTATGTAGTGCTTTAAAGGTTGGGAGGCCCTTGGCATGGATTATCAAACAAATCATACAAGGAATGTTTTAATGAGAGGAGAATTAGTCACAGCCTCCCTTTATCTCTTTAAATTTTTTAATAGTTAGCTGTTACTTGTAGGATAAAATGCAAAACCATCAATATAGCATGTGAAGTCTCCTCAATGTATCCCCTCCTTGCCTCCCTTTTCAGTCTTATTTCATATCCCAAGCTATTTCTTGTATATGTCATTTCATCTCCCACCTCTCCATCTTTGCATGGGTGGATCTTGGTGTCTGGAATATGCACTGTCTTCTCACCTATATCTTGGAAATCCAAGCTTCCTTCAGAATGCAGGTAGTTCAGATGCCACCTTCTTCAGGAAGCCTTTCTTGATTTTCCCCTCCCTCTAATTGTTAATTCTTTTTCTCTCTTGAAATTACTTTATATTATCTTGTATATATCTTGTGCAGCAGCTAAGTGGTACAGATTGCCAGGCCTGGAGCCAGGAAGACTTATCTTCCTGATTTCAAAAAAAGCCTCAGACACTTACCTAGCTGTTGGCCTCAGTTTCCTTATCTGTAAAAAGGAGCTGGAGAACATTAGTTGTAATCCTTCTTTACATCTTGACTAATAATGTGAAAATATATTTAATATGAATGTATAAGTAGAGCCTATATCAGATTGCATGCCATCTTGGGGAGGGAGGAGGAGGAGAAAATTTAAACTCAATCATATGGAAGTGAATATTGAAAACTAAAAATTAATTAATTATTTAAAAAAATGAGCTAAAGAAGGAAACAGCAAACCAAGAAAACCCCAAGTGGGGTCACAGAGAGTTGGACACAACTGAAAAATGATTGAACATCAGATATATTTTGTATTTACCCGTCTTCTCTACATGCTTCCTACCTTCCCCCCAAGGATATGTAAGGTAGGATTCCCACCAAGGATATCCCTACCCTACTTTTCTTTGTATCTTCAGCACATTACACACAGAGGTAATTATTAAATGTTTGCTAAATTTTTTCCAAGACGCAGAGTGATCCAGATAACCCATTCTAAGAATCTCTATCTCTTTATTCAAGGGTTGATCTGCTGATTTCCACCCCAACACCCCCTCCCACTGTCGCTTTGATTTGGGTCCTGCAGCATTAGATGGGTTTGCCTGCTCTGTTCTGTAAAGTCATGTGCTCTTCTATCATCCTCTGGTCTGATTTTCCTCTTACCCTGTTGTTGGCAGATATCCGCCTGAAGCTGAGCCAGGCCCAAGGTAACATCACAGTTCTGGAAACACAGAAGGTAGAACTGGAGTGTGTGGTCCTAAATCGCACCAGTGGGACATCCCGGCTTGCTGTGGAATGGCATGTGTGGAAGCCCAACCACCCAGAGAGAGAAACGGTCGCCCGCCTGAGTCGAGAGGCCACCTTCCACTATGGGGAGCAGGTTGCTAAGAACCATTGGAAGGGGAGGCTGCATTTGGAAAGCCCTTCTCTGGGAGTTTACCGCCTCATTATCCAGAATACCGCTGTTCAGGACAGCGGGACATACAACTGCCTTGTGGAGGAGTGGCTGCAGAGCCCCAATGATGTGTGGTATAAGCGGGCAGAAGAGTCATCCGGACAGACGATTGTCACAGTATTGAGACCAGGTGAAGGACAACTCACTTCCAAACCTTTCTCTTCAACATTTTCCCCATTAGATGCCATTTTATATACAGAAAACACAATTGCCTATTAATAAAAGCTAGTAGGAGCTTAGATATTTTGCAGTTAATTGCATAAGCCTTTCTATTACAAAATTTCACCTCAAAAAATGTTCCCTTTAGAGGGAAAAAAAATCTATCTGGTTTCAAACCCATCTCAGATACTTATTAGCTGTGTGAACCTTAGGTTAGTCATTTAAACTCTCTCAGCCTCAGTTTCCCCATCCGTAAAATGGGAATAATAACAGCATCTACCTCCCGGGGTTGTTTTAAGGATGCTTTTTTTTCCTTAGATGGAATGAATTCTTGCAGTTAATGGCAGAGCTCTTTCTGCCATTTCTTAAAAGAATAAGTTTTCAGAGGACTTAAAACTTAAAATAGCCAAATTTTGTTTTCCTTAAGCTTTTTTGTGGATTGCCAGGGTTTTTTTTCTGTTTGTTTGTTTTTTGAGACGATCAGGGTTAAATGACTTACCTAGGATCAGGTCCTCCTGACTTCAGGGCCAGTACTTTATCCACTGTGTCACCTTGCTGCCCTGTTAAAAACTGGAGAAATGATTAGTATACACATAAACGAAAAGATGTAAATAGCCCAAAACTTCCTCCCTGCCTTCCTTTTAATTTTTCTCATGGTAATGGCTGTCCCATTTTTTTTTTCCTTTCTGGAGGTTATTTAGAAGCATAGAGTGGCTACACATATGGCTTGTTACCAATTTAAAGGAATAACCTTAAAAATCAGGAAATGCGTGATCCATGTTTCCATAGCAACATCAACTGTCAAAATGGGAGACAGTTACCATTTAGCAGTCTGCCTGAGAATGCTTAGCATGAATGAGTTGATAGCAGACTGTCCCCACATATTAGCATATATGATTTTTAAACTTGGCTGGTTTTTGCCTCTATGGTACTATTTTTAGTTTCAAACAGAGATGTACTTTTTATTCATCTGTTCCCACTATGATGGAAAGAACCTTGGCCTTCTTGGAGTCAGGAGATCAGGGTTGCGTTCCTTATTCTGACATTTATTCTAGTATGTGACCTTGAGCAAATTACTAGACCTTTCTCAGTTTCTGTTTCCTCATCAGTAACATGTGAAGAAAAGTAATTATACTGTGTGTCCTATAGGACTGTTTTGAAGGTCAAATTAATAATAATAAATATAATAGCTAACACTTAGGACACATATGGAAAATGTATTACAAATATTTTCTCATTTCCTCCTCATAACAACCTACTGGGAAGTACGTACTGTTAATTAACACCCTCATTTTAAAGATGAGGAAACAGGCAGACAGAAGTTAAGTGACTTGCCCAGAGTCACAGCTAATAAGTGTCTGAGACCAAATTTGAATTCTTCCTAACTCCAAGCCCAGCATTCTGTCCGCTCTGCTATCTAGCAGCCATAATGAGAAAATATAGGTAGCACTTTACTATTACAAAAGTGCTTTATGTAGATTGTTATAATATACAAGAAAATAAGCCTCAGTGCTTTATAAAAACATCTTTTTTTTTTTAACATATCCCAGTGTCTCTTAGTGTTGGGGATGTATTCTCTTATTTCCTGGTGTAGTGGAAGACAGATGTGCAAATTTAGAGCCTTCCCCACTGCAGATGTTCATGTGGACTATTTGTGCCCGACCTGGGATACAGCCCTCTAAGCTCAGATTGGTCTGAGCAGCCATAGTTGGACACACAGTGTCCAACACAGGGATGTCATTTTGGTCCTCTTCCAGAATGAAGGCCAGTGACCAACTAACCAGAGGGAAGCAGCATGGCCTAGTGGTCAGGGTGCTGAATTTGGAGTCCAGAAGTCCTGAGTCCAGATTTCATTTCTGGTAGTTGATAGCTGTGTGACTATTGGCCAATCAGTTAATCCAGGGGGAGGGAAGCTGCAGCCTTGAGAGCCACATGTGGGCTTTTAGGTCCTTGGTTGCAGCCTTTTTACTGACTCCAAGTTTTACAGAACCGATCCTTTTATTAAGGAGTTTTCTTTTGTAAAGTTTAGATTTAGTCAAAGGGCCACACTTGAGGACCTAGAGGGCCACAAGTGGCCTTGAGGCTGCAGGTTCCCCACCCCTGATTAACCTTTCATCAGCTGCAAAATGGCAATCGTCATCATCATCATCATCATCATCATCATATCTTTCTTACAAGGTTGTTATGAGGCAAAAGTGAGATAATATCTGTGAAGCTCTTTGCAAACATTACAGCATTTAGAAATCTCTTTTAAAATGTAATTTTAGTGCCTAACCTGGAAGGGCATACCAGATTGCCTTGGGTCACTGTCATTTGCCATGGTAGGGATAAGGGCCGTGGTGTGCCAGCTGTTTTTGTTTTCGTTTCTCTCTCTTGGAAGCCACCTTCCAGTCTTGACCTGGAAAGCTAAAGGTCATTAGGTTGCAGATTTAAAAGTAGAAAGGACTTCATGGGCATATAGTTTAATACCCACATTTTATAGGTAAGAAAATTTGAGGTCCAGTGAGGTTAAATAAGTTTCCAAAGCCACACACAAGTGGTTAGTGGTGAAGATGGGACTAGATCTTGCATTTCCAGACTCTTTAGCCAACATGCTTCCTATTACGGTATTCTGAGTCCTGAAAAATGAAATCCTGACTCTGCAGCTTGGACACAATCCCCTGTGATTGAGTCTTATGGACCAGCAGTTAACCTCAGCTAGGTGGGCCTGGCTGAGCTGCTTGTACATTTGTTTCCTAGGTACAAGCTCAAAGTCATTTTGAAGATCAGGGTTTTTTTTAACTGTTTGGCTTTTTGATTTGGGTTTTTTTGTTTGTTTGTTTGTTTTGATTTGAATATTTTTGGTTCAGACCTAAGATTTCAATGATACAGGGAGCTCCTACTGGAGACACTTCCTCCCATAGAGTTTCCTCTGATCTTCTAGTAGTCAACAACATGTCTATAATTTATTCTTAGAAAGTTGTCTGAGGCACTGAGAAGTTAGATCATACAGCCCGACTAGGTGAGAGTCTGGGCTTGAACACAGAGCTTTATTTATGTCTCCCCTCCCTCACCTCCATGGAGGGGGGAATAGATATATCTTCATTTAAATACATGCATGTATTATGTGTACATATATGTATGTTTATCCATGCATATGCCTAGAACATTTAATTCCTCATTGTTGTAGCTAATATAGCTCTTGCTAGGTGCCTAGGCACTGTGCTATGTATTTACAATTACTATCTAATTTGGTCACAACAACTCTGCTATTATTATTTCCATTTTACAGATGAGGAAACTGAAGCAAACAGAGATTAAGTGACTTGCCCAGAGTCACAGAGCTAGTAAGTGTCTGAAGCCGCACTTGAACTCAGGTCTTCCTAACTCCAGGCTCAGCACTCAATCCACCGTACCACCTAGCTACCCCTAATTATCAGTTATCGTTATCAATAATAGTAGTGTTGTGAGGCCCCATGGGCTAGAGAATGGGATAGAGAGCTCATCTCAAAGGCAGGAAGATCTGGATTCATTTTCTGCCTCTGACACATACCAGACTGGGCAACCTGGTCCCGAGTAAATCCCTTGATTTCTCAGGGCAGAAGGTAAGGTTCTAAGGCTATAGCTTACAGAGCAGGTGCTAATTTGTGTTAGTGGAGAGAGATTCCTCACAGAGAGTTCATCACACTGATGAAATCCCAGCTCCTGGCATTCCTCTCCTCCTTACTAAGTGTGCATACACACATGTGTGTATGTATATGTATGTGTGCATATATAAAATCATGTGTGTGTGTGTATGTACACAGACATGTACATAGTGTATATGTTTACTTTCTCAGTATATATTATTTATGTTATACATATGAGAACTATGGTGTTTATATGTACATACATATTTGTGTGTATGTGTGTATCTATGTCAATAGATGTAGGTAGATATATATATACATATATATATACATGTCAATAGATGTAGGTAGATATATATATATATATATACATATATATATATATACTATGTCAATAGATGTAGGTAGATATGTATCTACATATATATGTATATATACATATATGTGTGTATATATATATGTGTATATATATATGTGTGTGTGTATATATATATATATATGTGTGTGTATATATATATATATATATATATATATATATATATATATATATATATATATATATATCCCCTAGCATGGTTCCTACCTTCAGAGAGCCTACATTATAAATATCATGGATTGATTTCCTGCAGTCATTAGGAGGAAGAACTGAAAAACCACACCAGACACTTGGCTACAACCAAAGAGGAATGTAATGACTGCATACTTCTGTGAGGCGATGGTGCTAAAAGAGATGGGCTGGAATGGGGGAGGGGCCGCCATTTTTCTGTAGCATTTTCTCCTCTGTAGGGTTGAAGCTAAGACAAAGAAAAGGGAAGGTGGCTTGCTGATCCCTAGGCGGGCGGGAAGGAGGGCACTGGGAGTAGATAGGCACTCTGGCAGGAGAGAGAAGGAAGTCAGCAGAAAACAGTCGGCCAAGGAGAGCTTAAATGTCCTATGAGCTCTTTGGTGGAGGGGAGGGCCTTCTTTCTCCTTTCCACATTGAATTTCACCTAACGTCAGCAGACCTTTATTAATGCCCAGGTGTAGCTGGAGGTATAGAGATTAGCGTAACCTAGGGCCCCCACTCAGGTAGTGGGGAATGAGGCATAGTCATAAATAAACATAATGAGAGGCTAATGGGGCAAAGAAGAGACCAAGCAGATTGATCTAGGGAAATAGAAGCAGAGAACCATCATTTGCAGGGGTGGGAGGATGATAGGGAAGAATCCTGTGGAGGAGATGAAAGAAGAGAAGGATTCTAGAAAGTGAAAATGAGGAGAGGAGTACGTTCTGGGAATGGGGTACAGCCTGGGCAAATGCCCAGAGGCAGGAGGTGGTGTCTGTTGAGTTCAGGGAGCTGCTGGGGTCCAGCGTGGCCCTCCTTTCCCATTGTTGCTTCTCCTCCTCGCCCCTCCCCCCTGCTGCATAACTATACCCTTGTGGTACAGTTAGTCCAAACCAACTGACGCTTTGACTATGTCTGGGAATGTGTGCATCAGTCCATATTGGAATGCACTATCTCTTTACCAAGAGAATGGAAGTATGTTTCCTCCTCAGTCCTGTGCAGCTGGAGCTGGGTTGTCAGGGGCCTTGAAAGCCAGGCTAAAGAGGTTATATTTTATCCTGCAGGCAATAGGGAGCCACCGAAAGTTTTCAAGGAGGGGAGTGACTTTTGGCATGACAGGAAGTCCATCATCTAAGAATTCTGAGGCAGCATATTATTAGGCCCTCCAGGAGACTTGCTGTATGTTCTCCTAGGACCTAGCACAGCTCTATGAGATAATACTGAGATGGGCAGCTTGGTGGCACATGGGTAGAGTATGGGCCCTGGAGTCAGGAAGATGTGAGTTCAAATCCAGCCTCAGACATTTAGCAGCTGTGTGATCTTGGGCAAGTCACTTAACCCTGATTGCCTCAGCAACAAAAAATAATCCTGGGAAATATACATATGCTGCTTGGGAGACTTCAGGCTCTCAAAAACAGGGTTTCATATTCTCTGTGAATAGTTTTAATAATTCCCTGTCGCATTGTTTTCTCTCCTCAACAGAACCCTTCTTCTTCTGACAGGTGATATTGCCCTGTTCTCCCTACCATCCATATGTGGATAGTACACTGAAGTTCCAGGTGTGCTAAGGGATTTGGAGGGTTTGGGCATAGGTTCATGCAAACCCTGAGAACCCTAGCTTTGTGTCCATCCAAGATCTACAATAGTCAATTTGTTTAAAACTTAAGATGATAATTGGGGAAATACTACCATTTGGTGCTAATCCAAAATATCTTTTAAAAACTTATTATTATTATTATTAATTTCAATTAATTTATTACTAGGAATTTCAGTTCTGGGACACTTTGCACAAGTATGTGGTAGAGAACAGAACTACGAAATAAGTCTTTCACAGGGCCTTGGAAGTGAATTCTTGGTCTTATTTATAACCACCCACTTCTCCATTGAATCTGTGGTCTTCTCAATTGGGAAATCTGCTTCCATGTTACAGATTGCAGCCCATCTTGTCTGCCCATCCTATGCCCAAAGGAGCCTAATTAGTATTATTTTTAAATAGGCCGAGGATGAGACAAGCTGTGTGTGATGGTAAGTCACCTGACTAGAGCACCTCTCAGCATCCGTTGTAGGTCTGCCACTCTTGGATTAGGATGATGTTCAGATGACAGTCTAGACAGAACGGGGCGGGGATGGGCTATGTTGTTCTAATGCTCAGCAGCCTGCCCTTTGGTCACGGATACTTGGGGAGGAGTAGCTCATTTCCCATTGTTCACTCTGTTCAAACAAAGCTATTAATGAGTCATCTTTTTGTACTCTTTCTTTCCAAATAACCCTCCCCCCCCCAGACGCCACACTGCAAGTGGACACCGTTGTGCCCAATGTCACGGTGCCAGAGAAGTCTCCTTTCCAACTGGATTGCAACATCTTATCCCGTTCAAGTCAGGAATCCCGCTTTGCAGTTGCCTGGTACGCTCTCAGGACTAAAGCAGGAGGAAAGAAAGGCAGCACACTGGAGGATGAGGAGATGGAGCGGAAGGCCATGCTAAGTGTGGGCCCAGACGCCGTCTTTGGCCCTGAAGGCAATCACTGGGAGGGCAGACTCCGCTTCCAGAGGCTCTCGCCCGTGCTCTACCGGCTGACGGTCTTGCAAGCAGATCCCAGTGATACAGGCAACTACTCCTGCCGAGTGGAAGAATGGTTGTCCAACCCTCAGAAAGAGTGGTACCGACTGACCGAGGAGGAATCTGGCCCAATCGGCATCCAGGTCCTCGACACAGGTGAGCTCTTAGTGTTGCCAGAGAAACCACGTGTGAGCTTTCAAACTGTATTTAGTAGGAAAATGGAAAAATCCACTCACTGTTTGTAAGTCAGCGAATTGGTCCTGGGAATCTGTTGAGCACTAGGTGCTGGGAGAGGACACACGGTTGAATGATAAAGTTGTGTCCCCGTCCTCAGAGAGTTTACAATCTAGAAGGAAAGCTGAGATAGAGGTAAACACTCTGTAATAATTTTAAGATTTTAAAATTTCTAACGTGTTGTTGTTTAACCATTTTTAGTCATGTCTGACTCTTTGTGACCCTATTTGAGGGATTTTTTTTGGCAAAGATACTAGATTGATTTGCCATTTCCTTCTCCAGTTCATTTTCCAGATTAGGAAACTGAGGCAAACAGGGTTAAGTGACTTGCCCAGGGTTACATGGCTAATAGGTCAGATTTGAACTCAGGAAGATGAGTTTTCCTGACTCCAGACCCAGTACACACTGGCCACTGAACTGCCTAGCTGCCCTGAAATTTCTAATATAGTGCATGTCAGTAGATATAGCCCACATAAATCAAAGCTCTGTAGGGGACAAGGGTGGTCTCCAATAATTTTCAAGATTGTAGAGGGATCCTGAGACCCCGAAGTTTGAACATTTCTGCCTGCCCCAGAATAAAAGTGCATTAAAAAGTCAAAGTGCTGTTTGAAGGTCTGCGGAAGGAATGGGGCTCATTCATTCTCAGGGGATGCTCATTAATAGAGGTTGGGATCCTGTTGGCCATTTTATAGAGTCAGCTCCTTGGGCTGAATGGAATCTTCCCAAATGCCTTGCTGTTCTCAAACTGTTGTGTCACAGTGGAGCTTAGAATACTGTTATAAATCACATTCCCAAGCCCCAAGGGGTAGAAATGAAACAAATGACTTAGCAAGTGGTCTGAGGTTAGGAAGCCAGGAGGCGGAGGTTATACATATACCACCCTCACACCTGTTAATTCTGGGTCTTTTTGCACAGTGTTTATTTCTGGGAGAGTGGGTTGAATAGAGGGATGCATTTTGAGAGCTTAGGTGGGTTTTGTGTAGGTGGTTGGGATTTAGGAAGAGGGGCTCACAGAATTAAAGGATAATTACTGTAAAATAACTTTTCACAATTTCCTGTACCCTCACCCCATCAGTTAGCTACCCTTTATCTTGGTAAGTGACTGCTACAGGAAGAGAGACCTGGGAGGGTACTTGTATGCATTTATGTGTTGCAACAAGGCCAACAGAAGGAACACTGGTTTTTAATGGGCCATCTGTTGGGACACAGAAGTAATGTTGGAATTACAGTATACTTGGTAATGGGATTTGTATAGCAAATTTGGGATTTGCCTGCAGTTCAAGCATCTTGCCTGAACCAGCATCTACCGCTGCCTTGCCCAACAAGGCTCTGCTCACAAGTTATCGCAGAACTGACTGACTCAAATCCCATCTCCTTTTGCTTTCCTGATCCTCCCTGTTGAAGGTTATAATGAGCAGTGAAGTAGAAAATAGGCATTCAGAGAGAAAGCACAGAGCCCTGGGTAATCTACAGACTAAATAGTCACCTGGTGAATAGTCTACCTGCCAAACAACCCAAATTAAAAGGGAAATGTTTGGGAACACGTCAGTTTTTCATATTGGTCGTTGTTCATTTTCATAGATAGAGCACTTAACTGTTTTCCAGGAACTGCGCTACTCAATGCCCCATGTAAGAACAAGCAAGCAAAACGTTACTTACCCTCAAGAAGCTTACATTCTAATGAGAGAAGACAAGTCAGCAATCGTTTATTAAGTGCCTGCAATGTGTCAGGCACCGTTTTAAGCGTTGAGGATACAAAGAAAGGCAAAAATAACGGTCCCTCCCTTCAGGGTACTCACAGTCTGATTGGAGGGGCAGGGGTACCATGAAAACAGCTATCCACATACAATTTATATTCAAGATAAATTGGAAATAATACCAGAGGGTAGACATTAGCGTTACTGTGGAGGACAATGAAAGGCTTCTTGTAGAAGGTGGGGTGTAAGCTGAAACTTGAAGCCAGGAGAGATGAAAAGGGAGAGGATTCCAGGCAGGGAGGCAGCCAGTGAAAATGTCCAGAATTGGGAGTGTTGGGTGTGAGGATCAGAAACCTGGAGTAGATGAAGGGGAGTAAGGTGTAAGAAGACTGGGAAGGGATGGAAGAAGCAGGTTATAGAATGGAGTTGGTAAGCAAAGCGGGGAAGGGCAGAGGGAGGAGGAGGAGGGAGGAACGGATGTGGAGAAGTCAAGAGAAAGGATCTCAACATCAGGAGAGTGAGGCCTCAGGGTGGAGGTTTTATAAATTAATAGAACAATTAGAAAGGACTTCTGAGATCACTCAGCTTAGGCTCCCCTCTTATTTTCTTTATGAAAAAACTGAAACTCAGAGAAGTTATGACTTGCCCAACTCTCAAAACTAGTTATGGCAGAGCCAGCATTCAGAACTCTGAGCCCTTGACTTCCACACCAGTCAGTTTTTTGAGTTCAGATTATGGTGTGCTAGAAATGAGTTTCATGAGTAATTTAAAAGGCTAGAGGTTTTTACTCAGTGATACAAAAATAGGATCCTATGGAAATGAGTACTCCCACAGTCTGGTTTGCTGAGAACATAGAGAGTACTTATTGGGGGAAAATTAGAAATAAGGCTAGTCCTAAATTTTAGTTCTAAATGGCAGCCTCAGTCAGCCAGGCTCCACAACTTCCTAAACCCAGCTATGGGATGGGTCCACAAATATGAAACGTACATAGCAATACGCACAACACTGCGTATTAAGATAATCTATGAACTCCCAGATGGAAAAAATATTGGCAATGCTCTGGAAATATCTCCTGGGACAGTCTTGTGTAAGTTACCTTAAGGAAAGGAGCTAGAAGAAAGCTGTATGATGAAGGAAATGACTTGTCTCTGGGAAGGGTCTTCCAGAGCTGGGGGTGAATGGCATAGGCCTTCCCCACTGAGGCTTATAGACCCAGACCTTCTGAGCTCATCCTACGAGCCTTCCATTGCCTCGGTCTGCTTTCTTCAGGTCATGTGTGGCAACAGACATCCTGTGGACACTTTAGCCAATGGTAAATGATAATGGTAATGTAACTGGCAGTGGTTATGATGCAAACGTTATCTCCTACGAGCCTGCTCTCAGGCGTTCAGAGGATGAATGAACATCTAACTCCCACAGGATGACTCTTCTATCCCACTGCTAGAGCTAAGTGCAAAGGAATATGAGAAATATGACTGTGCAGGAAGTGTAGATGGAGTTGGAATCAATTGCTTTAGCATAATAAATATTATTAGAGCATAATCAATAACTTCCATATCCTTGCTCAGCATTCCATGGGGGGAGGGTGGGCTTGTTCTGTGGGTAACTGCCACTGGATTTGGAAGAGGGCTTGTCACTGAGTAACAGGTAAGTCATTCACAACCTCCCTGGCCGTTGGTGGATGCAGAAAAAAATAATGCACAGAGGGAGGTGCGGGAGCTCTGCCAAATGGCTTCCATTTGTTTGAGTTCTGTCTTTGGTAACTGATGAGGATCAGATTTCCATGCCTCTTACTGATTCTTCTCTCACCACTGCCTTTCAGGTTCCACCCTCCAGTCCATCATATGTTCCAACGATGCCCTCTTCTACTTCGTGTTCTTCTATCCCTTCCCCATTGTCGGCATCTTGATCATCACCATCTTACTGGTCCGCTTCAAGGGTAGGAACTCTAGCAAGAACTCTGAAGGCAAGAACGGAGTGCCCTTGCTGTGGATCAAAGAACCCCATCTTAACTATTCCCCGACCTGCCTGGAGCCTCCTGTTCTCAGCATCCACCCAGGAACCATAGACTAACGGGAAGACTGGGGTGGACGTGGCATATCAAGGAACACATGGATCTTTGTTGCTTCCCTTCCTCTGTACTGTAGGACAGCAGCCGCTAGGCTCTGGAGTCCCCCACCCAGAGGGTTTTCAGACTCGGAAAGTTTTATAAAATCCCCGAGCCAGTGACAGAGAGAGATAGACACTTGTTGCTGGCCCCCAGCAGAACCCCTCTGCTCTTTATTTCTGTTGCCTGGCTAGTTACTCTGGTTCTGATGTCATACCCCTACTGTTAGAGATTTCTTTTTGGAAAATAGTATTTCCTGGAGCCACTTTGACTGCTGAACTTATAGTATTCTTTGATGGTCATTATAGGGGTTTGTTTGTGGGGGGTTTTGGTCCAGATCTTAAAATCACTTTGGTTCACTTTTTGAATGGATGGAATCTTCCTCACCCCCAAATGGTTGCAAAAAGAGCAAGAACTATGGACTGATGAGGGGCCTTTTTTGAGACTTTTTTTCCTTTTGCACATTTTTAAAAAGCTACCCCTGAATCAAAATTTACTTGCATAAATATATTTGAAAATAGTATGTAGCACAGGCCCAATTTGTATTTTTTTTCCCTTCAGCCCAGCCCAGAGTGGTTTGAATCACTTTGTAGTCAAGATGAAAGCCTCAAATTTTACTTCAAAGGACCGTGTGCATACAAGAGAAAAGGAGTCCTTCGGAAGCCCATCAGGAGCAGATGTTGTCCTGCTAACTTGTCCATCAGACCAAAAAGGCTTTACCAGGAGCTTGCCAAAAAAAGAAGGAGGTCAGAGTTCAAGAACACTCCTTCTCCAAACTAACATAGGCAGAAGGAGGGCTGCTTTCAGTTCATTTTTATCAGTCAGTGGATTAGAGAGGAAAAGGAAAATTGCTCCATTCCCATTGGTTTGAGCAATGAGGTTTGGTCACTAGGTGATGGCAGTGACCTTTACGTGCATGAGACTTTAGTTCATGATGCTTTGCCAGACCTTTAAGGAGGCCAGGCATATGGTGAGCCTGGAGCCACGCTCTAACAAGGCAGTGCATGTGGTAGCAAGTTAGATGGCAGACAGTAGGGACTCCCACCAATCAGATTTGTTGAGAGTGGGAGATTGAGAGGAGAGGGGAAGGATTTCCTAGGGTTGGCATCAGTGAATAACAACCACCACTCATTCCTAAATAAGCGTTGCTTCTTTGCTATCATTAATCTTTCTTCCCATGTCCTCTCTTCAGAAGAATGTTGTCTGGGATTGGGAAGAAGAGGAAAATTACCCAGTATTCGCTAGTATAAGTTTTTAGTAACTTGAGTACCTTGGCCATTGTATGTGGGTGCTTTTCTTCCTTACCCACTTAGATTTTTTTTTATGATTTTAGATTTATCATTTAGCAGTAGCTTGGACTTTTGTCCCCTGGCCCAATCCTTGAGTCTTCCTGCTGAGAAAGGTTAATTCTTTAGAGCCTCCTAGACACGACCTGGGATGATGCTACTACCATTTAATGCTGTAGGACAGAATGCTTTGCTACTCTGGGTCATCGGTATGGTGAAGGTAAGGGGAGCTCAATTACTTTCCCTCCTCTGTCCCTTGCCCTCTTTCATGAAGATGCTTTTCCAGACTTTTCCTTCACCTGTTGAACTTGACCAACAGTGCCAGATGGTGGTGGCTGCCCCCAACTGGTCCAGATTCTGAATTCCAGAGTAGCCCCCAGTCTGGAGGAACCCCATCTCTCCTGCCTCCTGACCTTGACACTATACCCTTTCTCTTGGGCCCCCCCTCCCCAGATCCCACTATATGTTGAAACTGAACTCTGACAAGTTTCCAGGAACTCTAGCCGAAACAGGGAGCAGGATCCAGAGGATAGATAGCTGAGGAACTTTCTGGCCACACCAGCCTTGACCTCAGCCCTCAGGGTGGCCCCAGAGGTCTCAGCATTTGCGTGTAGGGAGCAGTGTGTTCATTAGACGCTTTTCACCTGTTTTCTGCTAACCCACCTGCAGTGCGGTGATCAGCCTAGTAGTCGTTTTTTTTCCGACAGCCTGGCATGACCAGGGCTGGTTAGCACCAGCCATACCAGTACTCTACCTTCAGAGAACACCTAGGCACTGCCACCTTAATCACCCTGGCTGCCTAACCCTCTTCCTTTGGCTTATTTTTATTATCTACTCCATCAGCACTTAGAACATATGGCATTATCTCAGTTGTCATTGTATTGGGAAACAAAACAGTCTTTTGGAATTTGTATTTCTTGCCACCTCTATTTCATTTCAGGGAAGGTGATTCCCTATGAGAAGGAGCCGGAATAGACTGGAGGAGGGTGGGGCAAGACCCTTTTTCTATCTGAAAGGGAAAGGTGCCATAGGGTGGGATGGGTGAGCTGTTTCTTTCCAAGATTTTGTGGTAACTCGGAAGGAAGCCACCTCAAGCTGATTGGCGCTTAGATGAAGGGAGAAGATACTACATGGCACAAAGTGTGTCAGATTCATCATAAGAAATCTGCTGTTGAAAAAGAAACTGAAGCCAGTATTTTATGATGATGCTGTGTTTTCCTTCGGTGCCATCAAAGGGTGAACTTGGCCTTTGCGGGTTTTCAGTAGAACCAGCAACAGGACTCGCCCATTTCCATGGGAATGGTTTTCTTTCTGTGGTCCTTCAGACAAATGGTCAAATGGCGCCCTCCAGTGGCCCCAGTCCTTCATTTCACATTGTTTTCTGGGGCTTTGTCCCTCCCTGGTCCCAAGGAGGAAAAGCAGCTTTGATGTATTATTAAGTAACCTTTGTTATAAATGCAATACTGATGATGGCACATTTATGAAACAGTCACACTGTGCTAGGTCCTTCGAAGGGACACAGACAAGATGAGGACCTCCTTCACCAGGGTGTTTCTATAAAAAGTTTTATTATTCTTCCCAAACAATGGTTCCTCTGCGTTAACTTGAGTTGGAGCGAAAAAGGAGGGGTGGAAGGACATTGCCCATGCATGGTGTGGAAAGCTGTTGGATTTTTTTAAAGAAAACTATTTGTATGATGTTGCACTAAAAATGTTTTATAAACACTTCAGAGACCTGTAGTAAATTATGTTGAAAGTATGACTGTTTCTATTTACTTTGTTTCAAGTTCTTTTGTTTCAACTTCAACACTTACTCCAGTTATCCCTTCCACATCTCAACTTTCCCCATTGAGATTTCAACATATCGCAGGTCGGCATAAGAAATTAAATGGGAATTTTGGGGGAGTTTTGTGGAAGGCACAGATGAACTCGAAGGCCAGCAGATGACACAGAAAAGGTTTAGAAACTCAGAAGTGTGTAAAGTATATGTATAATGTTGCATAATTTCACTATATTTTATCTTTTAATGCCGTAATAATTCAGATTTCTTCTGAGAAAGAAAATTGTGGATTTCCCAGATTGCAGGGGTGCCATTCCCCTAACCCCTGTTATGTGGAAGAGATAACTGTGCTTCCTGCAGCCTCTGACTTCTCCATCTCCAGGAACAAGTTCTGGGCTTCCTGAGCCTGTAATTCTTACTGCTGGTAGAGAGAACATTGCAACAGGGAGTCAGAAGACTTGGATTCCAATCCTGGCTGTCCGCTTAACTTTTGATTTTGAGTAAGCCTAGTCTGTCCATGAGTTTCCTTGTCTACTCAAAACGGGTTAAAATGGTTAAAAATAAAAACAAAAACCTCTGTGGTGGTAAAATATGTGATCACTTCTCTTACAGGTTGGTTGTGATGAGGTATGTATAAAAACTTGGTAAAGATAAAGGTTTAGAAACAAGCTGCTATCAAGATTGAGGCTTTGCTTGTCCTGCCCTAGTTCATAGGGAATAGGACAATGACCAGATTCAAGTTTTAAATTGTCAGCTTCTAGATTTCAAAGAGTGGCGGGGATGGAGGAGTTTCTTCTGGACCCTGAATAAACTAGGAAAAAAGGCTGAACATGCAAGAACAGAGAATGTGTTATTACTGGGTTCCTGACTTTTTGCTCCTTTCCTGGGCATAGTCTTTCTAGGTTATTTTGGGGGTACGAGGCATTGTCTCATCCCCTTTAGTGGAAAGGACCAGCATCAAACTCAACAATATTTCAAAGACAATAGTAGTAACTTTTTTAAAAAGAACATTTTTGTGTACACAGCACAACATAGAGGACTCAATATAAAACCGTGAATTTCCATTTCAGACTGCTTACCTTTTTTTTAAAACTATGTAATAAATAATACACATTGTTTTCAAAGCTACCCTGCTATTCTGTGCTTCCTTCTAAATTTCTTTTGTTCTCTGCTGTGCACTTTTTTTCCTCCCTCCCCATCTCACCCTAGAGAAGGCTACAATCTCTCACACACACACACAACACACACACACACACACACACACACACAAATACGTATATTTCTTAGTTCTTTCTCTGGAGGTAGATAGCTTCTTTGTTCATAGCTCCTTTGTAGTTGGGTCTAAGTAGTTTGAGTGTTTGTGATAATCAGGGGTGGGGAACATGCAGCCTTGAGGCCACGTGTGGCCCTCTAAGTCCTCAAGTGTGACCCTTTGAATCCAAACTTCCCAGTACACAGCCCCTTAATAAAAGGATTTGTTCTGTGAAGTTTGGATTCAGTCCAAGGGCTGCACCTGAGCACTTGTGGCCTCGAGGCTGCAGGTTCCCCTCCTCTGCATGAGTTAGTCACTCAAAATTTTTCTCAGGATATTTCTGTTCCCGTGTACCACAATCTCTTGTTACCACTCATTTCACTTTTCATTATTTCGTGCAAGTAGTTCCATGTTTATCCAAAATCAACCAGTTCATCATTTCTTATAGAACAGTAGGTTTCCATCACAATCACCTACCACAACTTATTTAGGCCAAATTAAGGGGCACCTATCATTTTAGCTAATCTGATAATTGTAAGATGACATTTCAAAGTTGTTTTAATTTGCATTTCTCTACTCAGCAATGATTTAAAGCATTTTTCATATGACTATATATAGTTTTGATTTCTTCATCGAAAAACTTTGTTTTTTGTCCTTTGACCAGTTATCAGTTGAGGAATGACTCATATTCTTATGAATTTGACAAAGTTCTTTATATAGTTGAGAAGTGAGATCTTTATGTAAGAGATCGTCTATAAAATTTCCCCAAAATTTTCTGCTTTCTTTCTAATCTTATATATGCTTGTTTTATTTATATAAAACTTTTTAATTTCATGTAATTAAAAGTAGCCATTTTACACCTCACAATGCTCCCTATCCCTTGTTCATGAATTCTTTTCCTATCCATAAGTCTGATCTATGCCCAGTTTCTGCCGACTGCTTTCCAGCTTTTCTAATTTTTTTTTACCAAACAATCAATTCTTATCCCCTAAACTTAAATCTTTACATTTGCCAAACACAATCCTATATTACTGTGTGTTATATGTCTGCTCTTTTCTCCTGATCTAGCTTTAAGTTTCTTAGCCAGTGCCAGGTAGTTTTCATAATTCCTGTTTTATAATATAGTTTTACAAGGGTGGGGCACCTGCAGCCTCTGGGTCCTCAAGTGTGACTCTTTGAATCCAAACTTCACAATACACATCCCCTTAGTAAAAGGATTTGTTCTGTGAAGTTTGGGTTCAGTCAGAGGGCTGCATTTGAAGACCTAGAAGGCCACATGTGGCCTCAAGGCTGCAGGTTCCCCACCCCTGGTTTAAGATCCGGGACTGCCAAACTTCCTTTGCATTTTTTCATTTTTTTCTTTGAAATTTTTGTTCTTCCAAATGAATTCTGTCATTTTTCTAAATCAGCAAAATAATTTTTGATAGTTTAGTTGGGAAGGCATTGAATGAATAGATAGGTAAAATTATCATTTTTATTATATTGGTTTTGCCTACCCATGAACAAATTAATATTTCTCCAATTATTTAAACTGTCTTTATTTGTATAAAATTTGTATAAATAGTGTTTTATAATTATAATTATATATATATATAGTTCTTGGGTCTGTGTTGGCAGGTATACTTCCAGGTATTTTGTACTGTCCACAGTTATTTTAAATGGAGTTTCTCTATCTTTTTTTTTTAATAGGCAATTGGGGTTAAGTGACTTGCCCAGGGTCACACAGCTAGTAAATGTCAAGAGTTTGGTCTGAGGCCAAATTTGAACTCAGGTCCTCCTGACTTCAGGGCCGGTGCTCTATCCACTGTATGCCCCACTTACTATCTCTTCTTATAGAATTTTGTTGGTGATGTGTAAAAATGCTGATGATTTGTGTGGGCTTAGTTTACATCCTACTATTTGCTAAAATTATTGTTTCAACAAACTTTTTAGTTAAAACTGATCCATGTTCTTCCTAAACTGTTCTGCCCAGACCTGAACCCAGTTCTCAGATGTGGCCTGACCAGAACAACAGGACTACCCCCTTCCTTGTTCTGGACAGTGTGCCTCTGTTAACGCAGCTGAAGCCTGCATGAGGGTTGGGCTTGGCTTGAGGTTTTCCGTTTTGGAGCCGTCTAACAGTGTTCACTCATATTCAGCTTTTAGTTCATAAAACTCCCTCTGATTTTTTTCCACACCAATTGTTATACAGTCATGAACCTTCCCTACATGGTACTTATGAAATAGATCTTTAAACCCAAATGTAGAGCTTGGTATTTATTGAATCTCACTTCATTAGATTCAGCCCATCATGCTAGCCCAGGGGTGGAGACTGTGGATTCTGACTGTGGCCAAAGTCAATGATCTATGACTTCCAGAATCTACCCTCCCCTCTTTTTATTTTTTTTTTAACTGGCTCATTTGCCCCACTGTGGCCCTGAAATATCTCTCCTTCTAGACACAGTCTTTAAAATGATCACTAGGAGCAGCTAGGTGGCACAATGGATAGAGCACTGGCCCTGGAGTCAGGAGGGCCTGAGTTCAAATGTGGTCTCAAACACTTACTAGGTGTGTGTGAGCCTGGGCTAGTCACTTAACCCTGAATGCCTTTAAAAAAAAAAAGAAAGAAAAGGGGCAGCTACGTGTACCTGAGTTCAAATCCAGCCTCAGACCAAACACTTGACACTTACTAGCTGTGTGACCCTGGGCAAGTCACTTAATCCCAATTGCCTAAAAAAAAAAACAAAAAAGAAAAAAAGAAAAAGACTACGGTGGAGAAAACAGAAACTGAGTGATTCTACCTTCCCAGCTTTCCACTTCCATTGTCCATTTTACACTCCTGGCAGTCATACTATTCGGGGGCATTGTACTTGAGCTAGCGTGTACCTCCTGACTTCAGTCAGGAGCATTTATTTGTGAGCATTTTATTTGTACATTGGAAATGGGGAAATACTGCAAATGAGGGATTGGTTTATTGTTTTGTTGGTTGTCTAGACAACAGGTGGGGAACCTGTGGCCTCCAGGCCCTTGGGTGGGGCCTTTTGACTGAGTCCAAGTTTTACAGGGCAAATTCTTTGATTAAGGGGATTTGTTCTGTGAAGTTTGGATTCAGTCAGGAGGTTGCACTTGAGGACCTAGAGGGCCACATGTGGCCTCAAGGCTGAAGGTTTCCCATCCCTGGTCTAGACTTAAGAAAGTGAAGAAGAAAATGTTAATACTGTAGATCAAATTTAAACATGTGTCCTAGTCATTTTTCTTTTTCCTGGAAAGCTACTTAAATACTTTTCCAGACCCTCTTGGCCTCATCCCTTCAATATTCTTTCTTCTTTAAAAGTCATCTAAGCTAGGTGGCGCAATGGATAGAGCACTGGCCCTGGATTCAGAAGGACCTGAGTTCAAATCTGGCCTCAGACACATAACACTTACTAGCTGTGTGACCCTGGGCAAGTCACTTAACCCCCATTGCCCAACCCCCCAAAAAAAAGTCATGTAAGAAGTCCTTTTGATTGCTTAGGAAACTAGGCCATACGCAGCCTTCCCTCATTCTGAGCCTTCATGCTCTGGCTTTACTGGATGATGACCTTTGCTTGGATCCTTGACCTTGAATCCTGGGTTATCTGCTTCTCTGTGTGACTTTGTTAAATCTGTATGCGTCTTTGTCTTGCTTGTTTGTTTATTATTAAAGTCCAGGTACATCAAGGCCAGATTCTTCATCTCTGATTCTCCTGACTTCAGACCTCTCTGCCTTAGTTCACTCTTCCAGCCTCAAAGGATAGGTTCTCCTGGCCAAGGACGCATCATCATCCAGCTATTCCCTCTAATTTTCAGTCTTGCTCCCTCTGCTGGTTCCTTTCCATCTGCTGACAATATAAGAACTTAGATTTTTTTTTTTAAAGAAAAGACAGCTAAATCCTTCCTTTGCCTATGACCTTACCAAGATGCCATAGTCGTTGTCTTACATTTTCTCACAGTGCCCTCCTCATTCCCTTGCAATTTGCATTCTGTTCTCCCCACTCCACTCAAAGTGCTCTTTCTCAAGTCACCAATGATTTCTTAACTGACACACTGAATAGCCTTTTCCTGGGGGAGTCCCCTTTGACCTTTCTGTGGACCATCCTTTCACTGATTATGTCTTCTTCCTTTGTGACACTTTAATCCAACTTCCCAAGGCTCTGTTTTCAACCATCTCTCTCTCTCTCTCTCTCTCTCTCTCTCTCTCTCTCTGTTCCCCTCCCCTTTTTAATATCTGTGTTTTCCCTCACTGGTCTCTCCCATTTCATTTATTTCAGTTGGCCCTTTGATGCAGTTGACTCCCAATCTATGTCTCCACTCCTGATACATCCCTCAGCTCGAGTTCTG